GCCGTCCGTTGATAGATTTCCTTTGCGTCTGTTCCTTCTCATGTCTCATATTTGCCGTGCGTCGGGTGTAGTGTTGGGTATTTCGCGTGAACGGGTTCTCACACATTTTCCGTTACGAGGGTCTTTCTTCTTACCTTCACATGTATTGAAGTACCTTTATAACGGCACCAGAATAGATGGGACGAGCACGCACACGCACACACGGAGGGAATCATGGCTTGGAAGAGAGCTTCGAACTTCGAGTCNTGACGATGACTCAAGTTGCGGCAGAGAAAATGTCCCCATCAATGTCGCCGTCCGTTGATAGATTTCCTTTGCGTCTGTTCCTTCTCATGTCTCATATTTGCCGTGCGTCGGGTGTAGTGTTGGGTATTTCGCGTGAACGGGTTCTCACACATTTTCCGTTACGAGGGTCTTTCTTCTTACCTTCACATGTATTGAAGTACCTTTATAACGGCACCAGAATAGATGGGACGAGCACGCACACGCACACACGGAGGGAATCATGGCTTGGAAGAGAGCTTCGAACTTCGAGTCAGATGACCTTCCCCACCACAAACGACGCAGGGCCAGAGAAGAGCTGCCGAACAATCGCTGTGAAAACGATAATGAGAAATGTGATGGTAGTGATTACAAGGAGGATGACGGTGAAACCACTCCAAAACGACCTCGAGTGCAATGTAGCCGCCTTGGTAGACGCGTGCAATCTGTTGTGTTGCTACCGTTTCTGTTATTGATCCGGAGAATAGCTGAGCCCCCCCCTGCCGCCCCCCTGACGGTGTCCCAGTTGTTAGGAGTGTTTTGTATGTTCCACCGCACTGAGACTGACGTCTTTTCATTGGTCAGCCGGTTAGCGCGGTCGATGCTATTAGTCAAACACGCACATTCCTCGACGCTCCTCTACTATGCACGCGTACCTCGGTTGGCTATAGAGTGATTCTTCGTTTTCGGCTTTCGGTTTTTGGTACNGACGTCTTTTCATTGGTCAGCCGGTTAGCGCGGTCGATGCTATTAGTCAAACACACACATTCGTCGACCCTCCTCTATGCACGCGTACCTCGGTTGGCTTTGGAGTGATTCTTCGTCGTTTCGGTTTCCGGTTTTTGGTGTGTTCGTATAGCTTTCGCTGTCATGTCCATTGTTGTACCGAAGCCATCGTCGGTAGGCGTCTTCCCCATTTACTTGCAAGGCTTGTGGTCAAAGTCCATGCCCTCCGACGTTTGTAGGTGGATAGCTTGCTGTCCTGTACGCGTACCTCGGGTGTAGACGAGTGTCCGATTGTAGAGCAGTGGCACACCCTTGATACAACGAAGTTCGAAGTTACGGTATCTTTTCACAACAAAACAATACTTATCCTTTCGAAAACTATCGCCATGCAACCTACCAGCGCATCGGCGCCCGCCGATAGCGGTCGTCCGCGAAGCGCCCGTGTGGACCTATAGATGAATAAGTTTGCAGTATTTGCAATCCTGATGCTGTGGTGCGTCTGGAGCTTTTTTTGGGGGGGTTCTCCGCCCCTGGACTTCGCCTCGCTGCGAGACTTGCACCGACCGATAGCCCTGAGTTGCGAGGGCCCTCTCACTGTGCCGCGCGCTCTCGCAGCGGACGTCGCGCAGCTCTAGGGAGGACAGCAAGTCGCGTCTCCGAGATCTACGACGCCTCGCCCANTTGCTGTCTTCTACACGTACCTCGGGTGTAGAGGAGTGTCCGATTGTAGAGCAGTGGCACCCCCTTGATGCAACGAAGTTCGAAGTTACGGTATCTTTTCACAACAAAACAACACTTATCCTTTCGAAAACTATCGCCATGCAACCTACCAGCGCAACGGCGCCCGCCGATAGCGGTCGTCCGCGCCCATGTGGACCTATAGATGAACTTCCTGCGGGCTGAGGGTGTACGAGTTTGCAGCATTTGCAATCCTGATGCTGTGGTGCGTCTAGAGCTTTTTTTGGGGGGGTTCTCCGCCCCTGGACTTCGCCTCGCTGCGAGACTTGCACCGACCGATAGCCCTAAGTTACGAGGGCCCTCTCCCTCTCACGGTCCCGCGCGCTCTCGCAGCGGACGTCGCGCAGCTCTAGGGAGGACAGAAAGTCGCGTCTCCGAGATCTACGACGCCTGGCCCAATCAGAGGCCGGTATTCGACGGTCCAGGCCACATTCATCACATCTGTCTGCCCACCCTTGCTGCGGCAACGATGGCAATCTAATAACAACGAACTAAATACTTGGTGCTATCGCTACACCCGGTCATGGGTGCACTTGACGACAGTTCACGTTTCGTTATAGTGTTGTTTTGCCGACGTAGCGACCACGTGCTGCGTATCAGTCATCACCAATGCATTAGGATTCAGACAAACCCAGAAAGACTATCCATACAGCAGAGCAGTTCGTCTACATACGTCACGCGTTCTGCAACACCGAGTCCGCTCCTGCCCATTCGAAACTGTTCCTGCGCAGAGTCTGCGTTGTCCGTGTTGCTGCTGTTCTGTGACTACAAGTACACTGCTTGACTTCATCGGTGCGATACCGGCTGAAGATTCTGTGAGACGGATCCATNCGGCTGTACAGCACTGTACGCCGGCCTCCATTCTGCCTCATTCGAAACTGTTCCTGCGCAGAGTCTGCGTTGTTCGTGTTGCTGCTGTTCTGTGACTACAAGTATACTGCTTGACTTCATTCGTGCGATACCGGCTGAAGATTCTGTGAGACGGATCCATCACGTACATGTAATCATGCCATGCAATCTAGACTAATCGTCACAAGCATAAGTATTTGACTTCCCCGCGGTTGGCACTACAACACGTTCCGCAACCCCCGCCTAGTTCACCCGTTGTATCTTCGGCCGTCCTACATTACCCACCCGCCACATCTTGGTCGGGGCCGACGGCTGGTATCGACGACCGCCTGGCTAACACAAACAGTTTCCCCCCGCTAATTTCTTATTCCTTTTCGTCTAGCAGGCACTATCCCGGAGGCGCTGGGAAACCTCACGGCACTGAAATGGCTTTACCTCAACATGAACGAGCTGAGCGGTGAGTCCGTAGGGCCCATATCGCACAATTACCAACGTTCTTCTGTCAAGTTGCCGTATGTACAGATGAATCATGTGTACGCGTTGGTGTATTTTTTTCTGCTGTTTTTCCGCTTGTTGCTATTTTTCCGAATATTTCGCGCGTATTGTATGCTCTCGGGCGGGTTTCTCCCGCCATCTCTGTCCTCTAGGGGAGAGCAGGTTGGATGTTGTTACCTTTGAAATTGCTTACTACCGTATCGCCAGGACTGCTTTACAGCAGTAGGTACAGTTTGTGTTTTGGTTTCGTGTTGTCTGCTCTGTCTTCTATCATGCAGATTATGCGTTGGCAGGACATATAAGGGAAGACCAAAAATATCATGAAATTGTATCATGTGTGCTACAGAACAACGCAACCATAACTTTTGGCACATTTCTCACCAGTGAGCTTGTTGTTGGTAAGAACCAGGGATGCCAGCTTGGTTAGAGCTCCCAGCTCCTTGGGTATTGGCCCTGGACAAAACAAAAGCAGTACAGCGGGGAAAACAAACCAACATATTGGTTTGATGAAGCTTCTAGAACAGTGGTCCTGCCAAATTGTAGCAAAATATGTCCCGCGAGTTCCGAAATTGTGAAATTTCGCACTCGCCTACGCATCAGCGGGATCAACAACAACCTAAGACGACCATGAAAGTACCTGTGAGATGGTTGTAGCTGATACAGACGTTTAGACTAATTCGTTCCGGCTGAGGAGTCACACGAGATTGCAGGAAGGGCAATCCTGATGCTCTCGTGAGCCCAGAGCCCTTTTTTGCGGTTTCTCCACCCGTAGACCTTGCCTCGCCGCGAGACTTGCACCTACCGATAGCCTTGTGTTGCGAGGGCACTCCAGCCGTGCCGCTCTCTCTCGGGGCAGACTGCGTGCAGCACTAGCGAGGGCAAAAAGTCGCGTCTCCGAGATCTACAATGCTCCACCAATGACGGCCCGGTTATTGACAGTGCAGGCCATTCATAGATCCGGCGAGGTTTCATAGATTCGGCAAGCCGCTAAGTGGTGCACCTCTTTCTCGCCACATGCGACTGACCCAAGCAACCACTTCTGTCTCCGCATGACGTGAAATAAACCACCCTACCTGCTGTAGTGCGTCTCCCATTCTACCCCGACGACAAGTGTGTGCGGGGGGGGGCGGGGGTATGCGACCTGTGTCGTGCGCACGGCGATCTGCAAACTGCACCTGAATTATGTAGAGGTTATCTCGGCTTGGTCGAAGGCGGTGATCTCCATGTTGGAACACCATTTCTCGGAACATTGCTTGGGCTGGTGCAGCCGGTGCACTGCAGCAGTGCACAGCAACCTACACGGGGATATTCGCGTACTGAGCAACCTACCTTTTCCGCCACAGGTTGTCGCGGCTCAGGCGTACCTACCACGGCATAGCTTTGGGTCGGGTTGGTCACCTGGTTGGGTTAGGAATAGGGCTATGTCCTGTAGGTTTGGAACAGCAGTGCAACATCATGTGTACATCAGGCGTGCGATTGGGAACCAGAAATGAGTAGCTGTTTGAAGCGTTGTTCATCGGGGGGGTAAACAGTCTCCTCCGCTGTCCCTCCGGGGGTCCTCTTTTCCCCCCTCTGGCAGAGCATGCAGCATAGCATCAGTACTACTCCTGTGGGACGAGTAGCTTCCTTTTTGCCCTGTTGATGTGCATACCACGGCACATCAGTACACATATATGTGTGTGGCGTTGCTGGGTGGGATGGTGAAGAGACGAGATGCTGCACAGAATGATTTTTTTTCTCATCACACGCATATAAAGTTTGGGGTGTAGAAGCGGAAATTTTCCTTTAGGATAAAATTGTTGAAAGCGTCCTCGAATGTTGCTGATGGAAAATCGACCGGCAAATGAAGTTGCACGGAACCTCCGGATTCTCCCGAAAGACCCTCTGACGCACACGCGCGAGGACGCCGCTCGTGTGTGTGCTCTGATTATTCAACGGGTTCTCTCCTTCGCCTGGCGCTGTCCCGCCACCGCCGACTCCTTCTCTCGCCCAATGGCTTGTTTTTGCTGCTCGGCCTGCTGTCTCCGTGCGCGCTCCGATTTGAGCTCCTCGTCTCTCTCGCGCGCAAACTCCAGAGCCATGCCGCAACCAGCGTTGCTCTCTTCCTCACTTTTCCTACTTTCGACCAGCTCCTCCTTCGTGCTTTCCAGCGCTTTCTGCGCGGCGGTTATGCTGCCGCGCTCGATAGCGCGCCGGGTGTTGTCCGCTGCTGCCGCCTCAGCCACAGACATCCCCGTCTTCTCTCCACCCTTAGTTTCGCGCAGCGCGCCTCCTGCTGCCGAACGGCGCAGATCTCGATTATGTTCTTTGGGGGAGGGTCTGCTGGTGTGGGCGATGCAGCCCCACTGGAGGGGCCGTTTTCAGACTTGTAGATCTCGTAGTTGGTCGATGCGATTCGGATGCGGTTTGTTGTGTGGTATTGTTGTAAACCCAAGGTAGAGCGCTGTAAAGTCGCTTTCACGAGAGGAGCAAAGGTCGCCTTGGGCGTGGAGCAAAGCGCGCAAAAGAACATGTTTTTTGGTGTTCGTCCGCCCTTTAACTTAAAGAGAAACCCTACCTTGCAGTCACCTCTATTGGACCTGTGTGCAGATGTGTGTAACGCATGAAGAGCCATGCTGCTGTCTGGACGCATAGCTGCCTGCACAAACAAATTGACTTGATTTATAGTTTATTCAGAATCAACAGCGGGATTCTCAAGAACCAAAAAAAGAACCAAAAACCACGGACATTCTCCTCACACGTATTGACAGTTGTACATTTGTTTTGGCTGGTCGTCAGCAGTGGGGGATGTTCGGGTGTTATTTGCTCTTTTGGTTCCAGGCCGCTGTTTGACTTGGAGAGTCTTTCATGTTCTTCGAAGCAGCTGTAACATTCTGCATTATTACACCCCCCTGGCTCTCACTCTTGTGATACACAGGCAAACAAACGGTGTGGTACATACTGTAGCGAACAAGCACCCACGACCCGCAGCAGGACAGCTTGCACAAAGTCGGAACGTTGGACCGAACATAGAAGGACGGTGTATGAACGTAGAACATACAGGGGCGCTTCGCGGTCGCCGCTATGCTCGTAGGTTGAATGGCGATGGCAAGTGTGTGCCGGTGGAGTTTGAAATGAGAGAAATAATGCCGCGAGGAGGGAACAAGTCGATTGTTTGTTCAAAGAGCAGAGACGCACAAGAACTGAATTCGGTTGTTTTGCGACGGCCGGAGGCAGAGAGTATTTATTTACTCGGAGCAAGGACATTTGTTTTTAATGAACAAAGGCTTTCCATGAAAACAATAGGAACATAGGGCATAAATAACATATCACCTTGTACTCGAGTTCGTTTAGGAGTACTTTCACCATGATCCCCCTCGTTTTCGCTACCATGATACTGATCCTCATTTCGACAAGAATTTCTAGGTATTTCTTTCCTAGCCCTACGTCTTTTGTTTTTGGGGAAGGTCATCTGGCTCAAACCCTTGGCTCTCTTCCACTCCTCCATGTTTTCCTCCTCCATGGTCGTCTTCGTCCTCCTTTCTTCCCTTTCCCTTTCCTTCGTCTCCGTCACTCCCAAGAGAAGTACCCTCATTACTATTCTAATATCATCGTCGCAGAGATCCCAACCGATTGGCCCTGGTGGAAGTTGGTCGATCAGTAGCCCATGACGTTTGAACACATGGCGAGTTCGCATCGACAGAAAACGAGGTATTACGGTGACACATTGTTAGTAGGAGCAAATCAAAAGATATGCGTTTCGGAGTGTAACTTTCGCAATACGATGC